CTTTAAATTGTTGTGGACTTACGAAAGTTTCTTTGTGATTTTGTGTAGGTGTTATGTTTAAACTAACTGATACTGAAACTAAGGAGTCTGACATTATATTTTCTTCAATGCATCTTGATGTTGATGGTTGATTTGGATCCATAAGTCGTTGGGCTTCTTCATTGTTTTGATCCCCATTCCTATCAGTTACGATGCTAATTGCAAAGTCGTCATCTGTAAATATGAATTTATCGAAGGGATAAATCCCAGTTTTTCGAAATCCGGATTTGATATTACCGGGCGTCATCGATTTTTCAAATGCATAAGCAACACACCCAGCGATATCAAAAATAGAAACAGGTATTCCAGGGTGCTCTAAAAGCCACGTTTGTAAGGCAGTATTGTAGCATGATTTAAACGAAAAAAACACCAAGACATCTAATGGTTGCAGCTTGTTGGAAGTATGTGACGGTAAGGTCAAAATGATCACTCCATTTTCCTTGGCTAGATTTATTCCTTTTATCGTTAGATGACTCTCGTGATTGTCAAAAATTAAGAGAGAAGGGTTTTCTTTTGTGCTGGACGTATGTTTATTGAAGTGCCTTACAACGCTTGGAAACAATTCACGAGTCATCCATTCAGAATCGAAAACCAATCCCAAAGTACCATGCGGTGCTCCATAAGTCATTCGAGGATTAAACTTTTTTTGTGGAAAAATCATGATTGGTGGGATTGTATTCCCGGATGCTGATATAACACAACAAGTGGTGACCAGTAAACCTCGTTCGGCGCTCGTACAGGAAGAGACCTGCTTGATCCCTCTCTGAGCAACAATCTTTTGCGATTTTTGGACGGTTGTGGTGGCAGTTTCATCTAAATTATAAATTCTTGTACCGCTGCAAAAATTTCCATGGTTCTGAAACAATTTTTCCAATTTTTTGAAAAAAAGTCCAACATTGTGTTTGTTGAATGATGTCGCTCTGTTGAGGCTACATCCTTCCGGCTGGCGAAGACTTAATTCTGCATGTCTGGACATAAATCCAAGGAACCATTCGCGTCCAGCTTCCTTGTTTGTTTGCCAATTTTCCGGAATTTTATAATTATTAATAGTTGCCTTTCCATAAGCCAGTTTTCTGATATTAATGACCGTTTGTCCGTAACACATTTTTGAGCAAGTCAATACGTAATCGGCTAGGGCTTTTTCTTGATTTTCAGAAAAAACTTTTCTACAAGCATAATTTGGAGCTATTTTAATCTCTTTGGTGGGATTCTGTTTTTGCCTTTTTACATATTCATAAACCGTTTGAAATTTTAAATTGTATCTTTCAGCTGCTTGTCTTAAAGATATCTTCTCTTCGGTGACTGCTCTAACAGCAGCTCTCATGGATTGTTCATTAAATTGCCCTTTATCGCTTTTTCGCTGACGTCCTCGAGCCATTTTTCCTGAAATATAAATTAAATTTTTACAAAAACAATTACTTTTTCAACAACACTCCAAACAAGCGTTGTGTTCCACAATCAGACAGTGTCTGATTGTGGAACAAACATGCTGTCTGAAGGTGGAACACAACCTAAAACACAAAATTTAATTTAACTGTGACCTTCATACATAACCTACAAAAGTAAACTTGCTTATAAAATGCCGACAAAATAGCCCAAAATCTGATGTAAAAGTTGTTTTTGTAATACTGGTTTCAGAAGAAAAATTAAAGCATATCAACGATAGAAAAAACTTACCTTGAAAAACGATTTTTTATTAAAAAATGCACAAAACCAAGAGAACAGCGTTCAAACTTTGTTTACCACATTGGCGTTTATAACCTCACTATCCGAACGAAAAACGTCAAACTTACGGCGGGAATTTCAAAATTCCATGCTTTGTCTGATTGTGGAACATGTCTAATTGTGGAACACTCTCCCCCAATGATAAAAGGCCCGACCTTGAAATTAAAAAAGTAGTGACAGGACAGGACGTAACTATGGATAAGCAATCGGATAAGTAAAGACCAAAAAAGCGACGGGGCCATGTGAAATAATAAAGCTCTTCAAAAATTTAGGTAAAAGATCTCTACTTCATCTTTTTTAATAAAATTTATAAATATAGCTATATATCAACAGATTGGCTGCTGTCGACTTTTGTGACTATACCTTAAAAAGCAAATGCAAAAAGATATAATGCCTACCGAATCATCAGTTTAATAAGCCATGTTTTAAAAATATTTCTCAAATTTTCACTCAAAGATGAACCAAAAAATTGAAGAACAATTTAGTGGCAGGTAATTTGAGTTCAGTAATCAAAATTTAACCAGAGACCACTGTTTAGTATTTAGGTTATCGTACATAGATGCAGAGATGTCGGCCATCCAGCTTATACGGGTTTTACTGACTTTGAGAAGGCCTTTGATCGAGTAAACATACCAAAATGATAGCCATTCGTCAGCAGATAGGTATTCATGATGAAGACCTACGTATTATTAAAAATCTTTACTGGCATTATCGTGCTTTAAATACGAAGAGGAGTAGGACAGGGCTGCATTTTGTCCCCACCAATATTTAACATCTGTTCGGAATTCGTTTGTAATAAAGCCATCAATGAATGGTGTTTACTGTAGTATCAAAATTAATGGCAACAATATTGAGAATTTAAGGTACGCGGATGACACGGTGTTAATACAAATAGTGACGAAGAACTTCAATATCTAATTATGGACTAAAGCTTTGCACCACAAAGACAAAAGTAATGGTTGTCAGTAAAACGCCAATAAAACCAGAAGTGGTAACAGCTTATGGAGAACAACTAAGAAAACCAACAATATCATTTATCTTGGTTGTAATCTAAATGAGAACTGGGATTTGAGCAAACATATTAGAATACGTATAGAGAAGGCTAGAATTGTATTTTTTAAGTTAAAGAAATTATTAGGTGGAAACAATATTACTTTGAGATTAAGAATTAGATTAATCAGATGTTATGTGTTCTCTTCTCTTTTATATAAGGTCAAGTCAAGGACTTTGACAGATGCACTTCTAAAAAAACTTTAAGTCTTTGAAATCTGGATTTAAGTGGTCAGAACAATCAATAGTCGCATACTTGAATATTTTGACCATGTAATGCGTTACCCAGAGAGATATTTTATACTTTATTTACTAAGAAAAGTCAAGAGAGATGAAATAAGAGGGGTAGGTCGCAGACGAGCATCATAGCTTTAAAACCTGAGAGAATGGATTAACAGATCCTCTGCATCTCTTTTGCGAGCTGCCGTCACAAAATTAGTATAGCCATTTTGATACCCAACGCACGATAATCGAGCAGAGCACAAGAAGAAGACTACTTTGTCGAAAAGATAGTTTATTTTCAAATACCTCTTTTTTACGATTTAAATATTCTAAGTTACAAAAATAACATTTTGAGACTCCTTTGCGTTAAGGTTCTCTTCCACCCAGATATGCTCGTTATAATTTTCATTTCAATTGCTGTATTTTTACATCTGAAAAAAAAATTTATTAAATGATGAAATATCTCTTTAAATAATAATATTAACTATTTTTACATTTATACTTTTAAAAATTAAGTAATTTGTAAAATAACAGTTTTTAAATATATACACACAATGCGATGATTATCGAATATTAAGCTTGATGTCTCATGTCCTTAAAGCTTTTCTCAGAATTATACATACACGAATTTACAAGAAGTGCGAGTTTCAGATGAGTGACACTCAATTCGGATTTCGAAACGGATTGGGAACACGAGAGGCTCTGTTTGCTTTAAATGTGTTAACGCAACGATGCAGAGACATGAATGTAGATGTATATGCATGCTTTATTGACTATCGAAAAGCATTTGACTGTGTTAACCATCAAAAGATGATTGAAATTCTGAGAACAACTGGAGTTGACGAACAAGACTTGCGAATTATCTCAGAACTATACTGGCACCAAACGGCAACCATTGAAATAGAGCACACAACATCTGAAGATATACAAATCCGACGAGGAGTGAGACAGGGTTGCGTCTTATCACCCCTTCTGTTTAATTTATATTCGGAGTCCATATTCAGAGAAGCATTAGATCAGGTCCAAGGCGGAGTTAAGATTAACGGAATCAGCATAAACAACATCAGATATGCTGATGATACTGTTTTAATAGCAAGCAACGCACAAGAACTACAAAATATAATAAATGCGGTAGTTCACCACAGCGAAATGTTCGGCTTACATCTAAATGTTTCCAAAACGAAAACTTTAGTATTTTCAAAGACACCAATAAACATACATGTGTATGCCAAGGGTCAAATGATAGAACAGGTAAATTCTATAAAATATTTGGGAGCAAATATCAATAGTCAGTGTAACCCAAAAAAAGAAATACTATCAAGAATCGAACAAGCAAGAAGAACATTCATGAGCATGAAAACATTTTTTACAAGATCAGACCTTAGTCTGCAGCTTAGAATCCGAATGATTAGATGCTACGTTTTTTCTGTCTTACTATATGGCTGTGAAAGTTGGACAATGGACTCCGAAATAGAAAAAAGAATAGATGCCTTTGAGATGTATGTATACAGACGAATATTGAGAATTCCATGGGTACAAAGAGTTACTAATGTTGAGGTACTTCGTCGAATGAGTAAACAAAAAGAATTACTAAGAATAATCAAAGAGAGGAAAATGCAATACTTGGGTCATGTGTTGAGAGGCGAAAAATATAAATTACTTCAAGTTATACTGGAAGGAAAAGTACAAGGCAAAAGATCAGTAGGAAGACGTCAGAACTCATGGCTGAAAGACCTAAGGAGATGGTTCGACCGCTCATCCGCAGAAATCTTTCGCGCAGCAGTTTCCAAAACTACAATTGCCATTTGGATCGCCAACCTTCGAAAGGAGACGGCGCCATAAGAAGAAGAAGAAATATATACAGCAAAAAAATTTATACTGAAATTCTATTTAGTGGTATAAAGCAGTATGAAGTTGTTTTTAAGTGTAAGAGCTGAATATTTTAACAATTTTCTGTTATTTAGGAAACTACTCTAGATTGGCCTGCGAAATACAATTCGTGAGATCAATGGGTTACTATCTTATCCAAATCTACATCCCGTCCGGCCTTATTGTCATCATTTCTTGGGTAAGTGTAAAGTTTATCTTTGTTTGTAGTCATATGGATAGAGAATCTAATAAATAAAAATAAATTATATACGTTTAGCCACTCGAAAGGTCCACGCTTATATTTTGTAATAATTATTGGATTATGTTTAAATACTAAAACAAGTCGATTTTTATTCCAAAGGTAAGTTCTTCCAACGATATAAGTGTGTGTCATTTGTCAACCCCTTCCGGTATCACAAACCTTTAATTTTAAATATGGAATATACTATGAGTGATAGATATTAATAGACAGGTTATTTGTAATACTTCAATCTTGAAGTATTACTGCGTTTTTAGGTTTTTATTAAATAAGGGTTATTGACTTATATGGTCTTTAGTAATTCGTTCTCTATGTTTTTCATTTCAGGCCCATTTTAGTCCTTAAATTTTTTATTTTAAACTTTTTTTAAGTTTTTGATCATTTCTACACTTTAGTTTGCGCTTTGTTTCATATATATATATATATATATATATATATATATATATATATATATATATATATATATATATCATGGTAAATGTAACCTTTATGTTGGTTAATGGTTAATATTTTCTCTCAATGGCCTTGATTTTTGCGTTAACACTATTTCTAATATTACAAATTTTTTATGAATTCTCTGAGAAATCTTGTTTTTCTACTCAAAGTACTAATTATTTTAATAACCTCCAATTAAACAAAATTAAAACGAATTAAACATCGGTATGGCTTAAATAGATTCAAGTGGTTCACTACCACAATACAGAAGTACCGGTATGCTACTCAAGGAATAGAAATGTGTACGCCGGTCGCCGACGCGCATGATGTCACCTGCGAAGCAATAGTACAGGGTACTACAGTGTTCGAGATATAGGATTCCCTGTCCCGGTCGATGTATTTGTTGCTGATTTTGTTGCATACAAATTCAAACATAAATATATTTATTTATTTACTTATTTAACCTCCTTTAAAACACAAAATGATTGTTATTGCATTAAGAGAGTGCTTACTACTGCTAAAAACTAATAACGATATTAAAAACTAAACCTAGACATAATAAAACAAGTAAAAAACACTATACCTCTATATAAAATTTTAGGACAACAACTTTTGCAGACTGAAGAATCTAAAAGGTCTATATTACAGTTAATTAATACTTGGTTACATTCTTCTAACATATCATTTATGGTGTAAACAATCAGTCTTAAAAGTTGAGAAAAGTCGTTTGTTATTTATTTTTAGATGTATTTTTGGAACATTAAATTTAATATTATTTATAAAAAAGCAATCTTTATATTTAACGTGATTTACAATATAGTAAATAAAAAGGATAGAATGAAAATTTCTTCTATTATCCAGTCGCTGAACTTTAAAACAAGTTAACATAGCATTATAGGAAAACATTCATGGATAGATATCAAACTTTCTGACATAAAAAAACCTCAAGAATTGTTTGTAAACATTTTCAATCAGATCAACATTTAACTCGGCTTGTGGTGCCCATATAATAGAGGCATACTCCAAATGAGGTCTTACCAGTGCATTGTATAATGATATTAGAGTTTCAAATCTTTTAAAAAATATGGAATTACAAATTATAAAGCCAAGAGTTCTGTATGCCTTTCCAATGATGATCTGATAATGTTCATTAAATCTCAAATTTTGCTGGAATATTACTTCAAGGTCTTTGCAAGTGTTCTTTCTTTCAAGTAAAGTGCTAGAAATTTTGTATTGGTTATCTATGAATTGTGATTTTCGGGTGATAGTAAAAACTTGATATTTAGAAGTGTTTAGAAACACTTTGTTATCATCGAACCATTGACTTACTGCTGAACTCAGTAGTAACTTTTTTAGTCTTTTAATCTTTTGGAAAACATTCTTAGCTGTTATTTTTGAAAAGTAAAAGCCAGTGTACAGTGATTCAGTGTCCTATTGATACTATTGGATCTTTGAAATACAGAGCCAAAGCATTTTGCAAAAACAATATCCAATATCAATATTGGGCAATATCCTGACAGCCATTTATGTATACACCTCTATAAGAGTCCTCTGTTGGAATTGTATTATTTACACCACGGGATTTTATAAAGGACCAAAAACTACTTGGATCAGTTTGTACATTATTCTCAATATTTTGATTGTGACACCCATATGCTTTCTCACTAAGCTGTTTCACCTCTCGTCTCAGTGATTTAAATTCAGTCAAAACCAAAACATTTGCAGATATATTTACCTGGCTATGAAGACGATTCCTATGTTTAATCTTCGATATAAGTTCTGAAGTAAAGAAAGTAGGATACCTAGAAATATTAATTTTTAATACAATTCTTATTATAAATCTAAAAATTAAATATGACCATAAAATCAAGACAAGGATGATATATGTCCTCATTAATACGTGGTACATTGCATTTAATTAAATTGTTGATATTCATGTTTGAAAATACTAAATCCAACCTTCTTTGCATTTGATTATAAGTACTCTGAGTTGTGTTGGGTAAGATTATAAATATCAATAAAATTGGTTATAAAATCACATTTGGCACTTGAGCCTGTTACCATAAAAAGACAAATTAAAATCACCTAACACCAAAAAATTAACATTAGTACCCAAAATATCATCAAAACTAGATAAAAAATTTACATAACCATCATCACATGTATTAGGAGGCAAATATGTAAGATGTAAATAGAAAAATACATTCTTAAGTTTGACTTTGAGTAGTAAGCACTAAATTTGACAACTTACATTAATTTGGACTGGTTCTACTCTAAATATCTTCTTTACTTCGAGCAAGACACCACCATCCCTGTTTTTTTCATTACCCCTGTCTCTCCTATATACAGTATATCGTTGATCTATCAGTTCAGCATCCTTTATCCCTTTCATCAGCCAACTTTCAGTTATCCACAAATTAAAAATAAAATTAATAGTTTCCACTAATTGTAATTCTCTAGTTTTTTACTGTACAAGTATGTATATATGAAGACTACAGGGAAAAAACCAGATATGTCAAAATTTCATCAAACCGAGAAAAACGCATATTTAACTTTCAAAACCATAATGTTTCTTACTCTGGAACATATAAAAAAACTCGAAAGTCAAAATTGTTTTACAAAAACGCATGAACGGCATTGTTCTGTTTTTATTCAAGAAAATGTGTTACATTCTTTAAAAATCCAGAAAATTCTTGTCAACTGCAATTTGTCCATTGAAAGAAACAGCTTAGTCATCTGAAACGGAAATTTATCAATGCTTTCAATAATGAAAATAGGTTTCATTTTGATTAGTATTTTTATTGTGAATAATAGGTAATAATTAATACAGTAAAACCTGTCAATAACGTTCACTAAAAATGACAGAACTATTGGCTGATATAAAAAGGTGGCCGCTAATTTCAGGTTTTGTAGTCCACAAATTTTGGTTTGGGAAACTTTGAAACTGGCAGGCTAGTACAAGTGGCCGCTTTTAACAGGTGGTCGTTAACTCAGCTTTTTCTGTAACATAGCTCTTTAAAGATCCCTACCTCTGGTTGGAACGTCAGGGCATACGTCAAAATTTTCCGTTGGTGAAAGCGTGCTCCGGGCGTCGGTGATTAGTCTTAATCGCAGAAGTAGATCGACGCCGACGTTAAATAAAGAAATTTAAAAAATAATAATTAAAATAATAATAATTTACCTGTTACGAGTGATTATAAAGTAAGATGGGGAAAAAGTCCATAGCTGTAGGACTACAGAATCTCATTAAATCGCTGTGCTTGGCTTTTGACATTGCGAAGGGTCCTGAAACAACATACAGGATATAATATTAAAATTTCTTGTGATACCTTATACCTTACCTGAGTAGACTGGTAATGGTAAATCAAATTCTTCATTCTTCAACTCCGTAGTTGTTGAGGTCATTCGTTTCTTCAAGATGCTTGACAAGAATGGTTCATTGTAAGCAGATCGATGATTTATAAGTCGACTGTGCTTTGATGTGGCACTAACCTCTTTCAAAACCTGAGTTTTAAAAGGTCATTTTAAAATATACTTCTTGTCCAAAAATGATTTGCAGTCCAAAACTATTTTTCGTGTTACTTTCACGACGATGAATGAAGACGGCTTTACGCAGGACGCCCTGATTATGTCTCTAAACTCTTTTGGTACTTCAAAAGGCATTTTTAGATTCCACAGCCCAACATTTTTGTCACACTCTAAGTATGAATGTTCACGGACAAGATACGTTATTTTTATTTCACGAAGCCCATGGATTTTGTTGTTCAAGATATAATGTATGAATCGGAATATTATAAAATTTTTGTTTTGTCCTCCAGCTGAGTCACAAAAAAGTTTTAAGTCCTCAACCTCATCATCCAAAAAGTTATTAATAAAACGTAATAAAAACGATGCCACCCCATTGGTACCTTATTTGGCCATTCTCTGTAATAAGAGTAAAAAATTGATTAACCAGACAAGACGTGAACATTAAAAGTGTACATTGATATCTGGCGCTTATAGTACACGTCCTTTGTCGCAATATGTGGGATTTCCAAATCAATTTTGGATTCTTTGCAAAATCAATACAAATTGCTTCCATTTTTTTCGTTCCTCTGCTGGTTCTTCTTGCTTTCCTTCTTTGTGAATAGAATGCCGCAGCCTTTTAGCAGTATCAGAGGGCGGATACCCGAAAGATATGTTAAAGTCCTGTACAAAAATACATTAGTACGTTTCGTACGATACGTGAATATTTGGACTTTTTTCTTGAAATAGAGAATACATTTTTTTTACGTTCAGTTTTATGAAATAACCATTTTAGAAATGAGAAACTTTTTCTTCATGCCTGTTTATATTTTCACTAGAAACAAAAGAAGTATTTCGATTATGTTATGTTGTATCAATGGATAAATATGTCATGAAACTTATGACATATCTGGTTCTTTCACTGGACGCATGGACAAAGCTGGTTTTTTCTCAGTACCCCGAAACTTTGAAGTGTTATTAGTCATGACAAGACTACTTTTTGCCCTGTACAATAGCTCTAAAATGTGCTTCTTCGCGTGTTCTATAACATACAATAGAAATCTGAAATTTAAAAAAAAATGGCATGTCTGATGTTTTCCCTGTAGTTTTTATATTTATTCATTACTTTATGGTCAAAATATTTAAATAGCAATTATTTTTAGGTAAGCTTCTGGTTGAATCGTAACGCAACCCCCGCCAGAGTATCCCTAGGAGTAACCACTGTGCTGACCATGACTACGCTCATGTCGTCGACGAACGCTGCACTCCCGAAAATCTCTTACGTCAAATCGATCGACATCTACCTGGGGACTTGCTTCGTGATGGTCTTTGCTAGTCTATTAGGTGAGTTTAAATTGGAAAACTTTTCGGTCTAGGCACTGTTATGTTCACCTTTGCTACAACTAAAACTATAATAATAGTTCAATTACTAAGCAGATAGACTCTTATCTTAAATTACAGTAGTAATGTTCGGATGATATTGACCTTTAACGATATTTAGGTTACCGCAAATGTTGCTTGATAAAAAATATTAAAATTTTACTAGGATTTAAAAAAAAAATTGTTGTGTTAATAAAAACAGTTAATAAAATAATTTTCAAACTGTTGTGAATGGAAAATATAGTGCTTTAGTATTTGTTACTTTTACAATACTTTACAATCTTCTTTATCTATTCTATATTAATAATAAAAAATTATCTATGTATTCAACCATATTTATTTATATTTAGCATTTTATCTCCCATCATTCTATATCCTAAACAATTTAATCCTATCCAAATTTAATCGGAACCTTTTTAGACTTCTCTTTTAGTGTATAAATATATAATCCCAATTAAATTATTCTTTTTGTGTCACATTTCTCTCATTTAATAATTGTAATACTCTGCTAAGAAGTAAATTAGCACATATGTTTTTAGTACATTAAGCGATATATTTCTTTGGTATCCGACTTTTGTTTCAATTTTTCGATTAAATAAAACAAAATGACCTGTTAAATAACCTAAATATATTAAATTTTACGATATAATAAAAAACTTTATAGAATTAAGTCAAAAAATGGTATTACATATTATGTAACGCTAGGCACTACTGTAAACAAATTTGACATAATATACTTAAAACTAAATGTTTCCATTATTTTTTGTGAAATACGCAATTACAATCCAAACATAAACCTGCATTACATGCTGTGATAATTGATCATCGTGACAAAATTGATATAATATCCAGGCATTATTAATTACTGCATCTAAGGGAAAGCTAAATAAACACCACCACCATTTTCGAGATCGAATACCAGGTTAGGATCCTACCCATTGTAAAAGGAAACAAAGCTCAAAGAACCGATATTAAGCCTCAGAACCAGACGGAACCTAAGATGACGAACCACGCAAATAAAAAAAAAACGTAAACGAGAAGGAAAAATAAGCCCACAATCCGATTAGCAACATAAACCATTACTTCTTTCAACAATAAAAACCAAGAGATAATAGAAGAACTGATAAATAAAAACATAGACATTTGTGCAATCCACGAAACCAAGAAGAAAGGTAAAGGCCAAAGAGAACATATCCAATATTTTCTAGCATACAGTGGAGTGAAGAAAGAAGAACGAGCATGAGTAGGCGTAGGTATACTTGTCCATAAAAAATTTAAAGACAACATAAATAACTGCCGTTATATCTCCAAAAGAATAATGCATATAAATATGACAATGGACTACCAAAAATTAAATGTCATATCTATCTATAGCCCCGAGGGCTGCAAACCTAAGAATGACGAGAGGCATTCTACGAATAATTGAAAACCATACTGGATGAAATACCTCATGAAGAGCCCTTAATTCTTATGGGTGACTTTAATACACGAATCGGAAATGAAATAGTTCCAGGAGTAAAACAAAGATTTAATGAAAACAATGTCAACAAAAATGGAGAACTCATGGCTAATCTCTGAGCTTTTAACGAACTCAGAATCAATAATAAATTTTTCGACCATAAGCTTCAGTATAAATATACATTCGAAAAATCCAGGGGGCATAAATATATGATTGATTTTATAGTCACTAATAGAAAAATCCTCCCAGAGTAAATTTTCTACAGGAAATCACCGAGGAAAACTTAAATATAGACTCACTGTGGAACGACTCTACAAGAGAAATGTACCGAAGGAGGTTATCACAGAAGATACAGCTAAAACAAATGGACGACATCGAAGATACAAACGCGAGCTGGGAGAAAATTAAAAATCTAACTGGTAAGCAGGTTTTGTATGTTTTCAATAAAATTGATAGTGTGTAAAACAATGTATAAATTAAGCTAAGTATACTTTCGACATAATAAATGTCATCATCAAAGCTATCGTCAATTAGGCAATAAATACTTTATAGAAGGAAAATTGTGGACAAACGACATATTAAAAAACAAAGATCGGGCTCTGTAGGCCACAGATCTTGGGTCTAACCCTTATACATATGTATAATTCACATCAAAAATTTTTTTTTATAAAACATGGTTACCACATACAGTAACGACAACAGCTGTTTTTGACTTACATTTTTGAAGTCAAAAACAGTCAAAAACTTCAATGAATTTTCAACTTTTCTTGTAAACTTTTAGCAAATGGCACTTTTTTTTAACCCATTCTCGAATTTTTTGTTTCTAATTAGCTGTTTCAAAATTAACTGTTTACCATAGAGCAGTAATTTTTGGCCAAAAACTTTTTGAGCCAAAGTTTAATTAAAAAACGCTTGACAAAAAATATTTAATTAAAAAGAACAGCACAGAAGTCAAGTCGCGACCGCTAACTCTTGTCAGGCCAGCGTGACAGGGCAAGCTAGGGACTGCAAAGAAGTGTGAACGACACTGGGCTCGGATTTGGTCGCCGGACTTATTTCCGGCCATCTACCTATCATAATCCATTTCCGTTCCTATTTTATGGCTTGAGTCCTCGACGTTCCACTTTGCTTCAACCTGTCTTGAGTGAAATGACTTTCTATCTCTTTTATCGTCCTATCTTGGACAAACTCTTGTTCTTCTGCTTTTGACTTTTTCGCTATACAGGACTTAGGAAAGGCAGCTGAGTTCTTCTGTTATACCAACACTAGATTCCAGCCAGTGTTGCCGCGTCTGACAACAGGAGCCTGCATTGCCATATTAGTGTCATAAAGCGACACCGCAGCTTAGAAGAGTAAACCTTGATAAAATAATCAGCAACCACACGGTGTCAGGCCATGCGATTTGTCCTGATGGACTGTTGTTTTGGTCCGACTCGTGGAATTAGAATGGAACCAAATCTAAAAAAATATGTGGAAGGAGAGTGCCCTTTAGGAATCTTCTCCTGATCTCAAAAGACCAAGTAAATCCATAATAAGCTGAGAAGGGAAAGAAGAAGCAAGAGCAAGGGGACGAGTAGGTCTCTAGTGCCGGAGGTCCAGATGGACACCGGTAAGCCTCGGCAAGAGAAAGAGACCAGAGGCGGATATAGTGTCGGGGTAATCCCCCAAAAAATAGGCTCCCGACAGGGAGCCAAAAAGATAAGTGGTGAGATGCAAGGGCTAAGGTAGACTGTAACCAAAGTGTTGAGATTTATCAAGGTCAATATGAACACCAAAGTTAAAACCAAGACTAAGACGGCAGGTTTAAAGAAGTAGCTCATTAGACTAGAGCAGGCTTTTATAGAATTAAAAGGCAAGGTAGGATCAGAATCCAGGTGAACCTAGGGAAAGAGTTCTCAGAGAATTGACCGAGGGGTCTGTTTAAGCTGATGGGGATAATTGAGAAGCTCAAGAAGCTCTATCCTGTGCGGCTAGGCTACCCTATATTTGGTATCGAGAGTGCAGATATAAGGACAGTATATGTTAGAATCCAGCATGGCAATGGAGGAGTAAGCGAGTCTACACCGAAAGGTGCGCGCACAAACTCATCCTCGGTATGGGTCAGGAATCTGGCGCTGTCAGGTTTCTGTTGAGATTTATTAAGGTCAATATCAACACCAAAGTTGAAATCAAGACTAAGACGGCTGGTTTAAATAGGCAGCTCACCAGACTAGAGCAGACTTTCACGGTATTAAAAGGAGAGGTAGCAGAGGTCTTAGAAAATACAAAGAAGAAAGCTATGAAGTCGTTCGTCTGCATGACAACCGAAAGAACGCAGACCTTAGCGTCGATGGGTCCGACGAGTAACATCAGAATCCAGGTCAACCTGGAGAAAGAGTTCTCGTAGGATTGACCAAGGGGTGTGTTTAAACTGACGGGGATAATGCTGATGAAAAGCTCAAGAAGCTTTATCGTGAGCTGCTAGGGTACCCAGTATCCGGTAATGAGAGCCCAGTTATAAGGAAGCTATATGTTAGAATCCAGCATGGCAATGAGGAGAATAAGCAGGTGTCTACCAAAATCCACGAGATACATACACCAGAATCTGGCGCTATCAGGTTTCTGTCAGCGCTGAAACTTTGACGGAAAGAATAGCGTAGGATGGGTGGACCGCACCGTAATTGTGGGGGCTTCAACATCCTTGAGGATGGAGGTATTCCGCAAGCTGTCGAAGTGGGCAGTGAGAAGCAGAAACCTGACAGTGACCCTGTATGGAGAGGAAGAGATACAAGGAAAGAACGTCAGAAGCAAGGATATGGCCATATCGGAAGATGTGGCACAGTAAACAAAGTCACAGATACCAAATTTGTGGCACTGGCTAAACTGCAGGTACAGGCGCTTAGACTAGCTTTCGTAGCTACTTGCACAGATTCAAAAAGGCCGAATTGAACAATTGTCCATATTGTGGGACTTATACATCCACTGTGTCACATACACTTTTAAAGTGCGTCAGAAGTGTAAGAGAAAAAAATGAGCTGGAGAGAGTGTTTGAGTCGGTGAGAGAGATGGTAGAGAAGAGAACACAGCACTGTCGAAAATGTTTACCTTTGGTGTATGTTCGCAGATTCTCTACCTAGTAATGAAAAAATGAGAAAACTGATCGGACACATATACATTGGAAAACAAACAATTATAGTAGGACGTCAAAGGAATCAATGTCTAAGACGAATGCTTTCTCACCTACGATGTAATAACTACATAGTTCTGATACTAAATAACCTAAAAGAGATTAAAAACAGGCTTAATGAATTAGAAGCCGCCTGAAAATAAGTTTGTTTTAACATAAATTTTAGTAAAACACAATATATTACAAATCGGTTTTCAAGCGAAAATCCAAAAGTCAACTTTAAGGAAATAACATTAAGTTCATAAATATAAATACTAAGGTCACGAAATTCATATTGACAACGGCAACTAAACCGCTGAACTGCAAAGAAGGTACAATTTGGTATGGGGCGCACATGGA